CATGAGTATTGTGAGTTATTAAAATACATCAACTGACATTTAATGGTGCAAATCTGCCATGAGAATTTTATGTTGCCAGCTCGACTGAGCCCTTGGCCACTTGGCAGTAACCCTACTACTACTTCGTAAGTTGAGTGCCCACACTGACTGCTGCTGACTTTCTCTCAACCGAAACTTTCCACGTTCTCTTCATCAACCCTCAGTTCACAGAGAAGGTGAGAGCATTTCAGTCTTCAGTTTAAATTCTGACTCTGACTCTCATAAGCTCGATGACCATGGCAATGCATTTGGCTTCTCTGAACCCCAATCTGCTGATTTATAAGAAGGAAATTGTAAATGGTTGAATAGTGTCCCCCTAAAACAAGTATGTGACTCAGAATATAGTCCAGTAACTCAGGGTGTGATCTTATATGAAAATAGTGTGGTTCCAGATGTAATTAATTAGGATTGTGTCAGGACTTCCCTGGTGGTCCAGTAGTTAAGACTCTGTGCTTACAATGTGTGGGGCACAAGTTTGATCCCTGGTCAGGGAAGTTCCACCTGCCACATAGCATGACCAAAAACGATTGAAAAAAAAATTAGGATGGTGTCATACTAGAGTAGGAAGGACCCCAGTCCATTATTATTGTTGTCATTGTTTAGTCACTAAATCATGTCTGACTCTTTTTTGGCCATATGGACTGTAACATGCCAGGCTTATTTGTCCATGGGATTTCCCAGGCAGGAATACTGGAGTGGGTTGTCATTTCCTCCTCCAGTGACTCTTCCCCAGGGATTGAGCCCATGTCTCCTGCATTAGTGTCCTTATAAGAAGAGGGCTGTGTGAAGTCACAGGGAAAACACCATATGAAGGTGAAGGCAGAAACTGGAGTGATGAACCTACAAGCTAGGAACACCAAAGACTGTCAGCAAACCAGCAGAAGCTAGAGCCCTTAGGAGGAACAAATCCTGCCAACTCCCTAGTTTCAGAGTTCCAGCTTCCAGACTGGGAGGCAATGAATTTCTGTTGTTTAAACCTCATAGTTTGTGACACCTTATTACAGCAATCTTGGGAAACTGATACAGGAACAATGCTCATCAGAGAAGAGACCATACACTAAAGTGTTAGGCTGTTGGTATGGGATCATTCCTGCCCCACTTTTCTGGGGTCCATGTTATCTGCCTTGCAGCCAAACTGTTATCTTCACCATGGCCCCAAAGGGAGGGCGATGTCCTTCCTCTGCTTGAACACATAATAACCATCTACCCCAACTTTAGTCCTGACCCCTTCTTTACTCCACAAAATCCTGCCGGCAGTGAGCCTGTCTTTCAGAAGCTGCCATGATAGCTAGAACCATGTCCCAGTCCCCAAGGATGTGCCCCTCCACCCCATCACACACACCTTCTTACTTGACCCTCTCTTCCCACTCGTTTATCCTGCTGACCAACTTATCTTCAGTCACATCCTCAGCTCAGTTCAGTCGCTTATTTGTGTCCGACTCTTTGTGATCCCATGGACTGCAGCTTGCCAGGCTTCCCTGTCCATCACCAACTCCTGGAGCTTGCTCAAACTCATGCCCATAGAGTCGGTGATGATGCCATCCAACCATCTCATTCTCTGTCATCCCCTTCTCCTCCTGCCTTCAATATTTCCCAGCANCACATGCCCCATGACCAAAAAATCACAAAAAACCTAAAGCATAAAACAGAAGCAGTGTTGTAACAAATTCAGTAAAGACTTAAAAAAAAAAAAAAGATCGGCTTCTTTGCTGTATATTCTTTTTCCCCTCCAGCCTCTACCTGTACAGTCTACAAGATAAAACAGACTACTAAGAATGAGAGCAACATTTTTATTTTTAAAATAAATACATGTTTTCATTCTCCAACTTAATAGGGGTTGGTCAATAACTCTTTTCTTACCCAATATTTGCCTTTTCTAGAGGTGAATTTATCCTTCCTCTTTCTGCCAGACTTTCCAAACAGGGACTTCTGACTGTGAGGTAGGTGATTGTGATTCTGCTTGTGATTCTGCACAGTTCACAGACTCCTCCTCCTTTGAGAGGCAACCCTACCCCACAGGCCTGGGCCCTGGAGGCCACATCCTTACTATGTGACCCAGTGACCTTGGCCATAGGTGTGCTAATTCCTCCTTGGGACATGAAGTATGGAAGGGAGAGATGAGGGATCCTGGGCCTTGTTGAGGCTAAGTCATGTCAATGGAAGGACACCTAAAAGATCAATGTCTACTGCACAAGCACCCAGAGATGTCCTGGGTACTTTCCTTTCTTTCATCTGATTCTTTCTTTCATTTTTAATTTTTAAAAATTGAAGTATAGTTGATTTACAGTTTTGTGTTAAGTTCTGCTATACAGAAATGTGATTCAGTTACACATATATGTATATATACATTCTTTTTAAAAATTCTTTCGCATTATGGTTTATCATAGTGTATTGAATATAGTTCCCTGTGTTATATAGTAAAACCTTGTTGTTTATCCATTCTATTGTCTCTCTATATAATAGCTTACATCTGCTAACCTTCCACTCCATCCCTTCCCTGACTGTCTCCCTCTTGGCAACTACAAGTTTGTTCTATGTCTGTGAGTCTGTTTCTGTTTTCACAGATGCGTTCCTTTGTGGTACATATATTCAGTGGGATAATACTCAGCCATAAAAAAGAACAAAATAATGCTATTTGCAGCAATGTGAATGCAACTAGAGGTTATCGTGCTAAGTGAAGTAAGTCAGAAAGAGAAAGACAAGTACTATGTCCTATCATTTATGTGTGGAATCTAAAATATGACACAAATGAACCTATCATGTGATTCTTTCTTATTCCAAAGTAGACCCTACAGACACTTCCAGTCTCCTGTCCCATGTGTAAGGAGTTGTCTCTTCCATCCACACAAAAAAGAAAAATCCTGAACAGATGGAAAATAAATGTCTTCTTAAATCCATCAGAGAACTGAGGTCACAGGGCAAACTCTTGACCCCAAAATTGAAGAGATACACAGTAGGATACAAAGAAACACTAGTAATCAGAGTAGAAGCCCAAAGCAGGAAACTCTACAGCAACCACTGCCAGTTTCCTTTTACTTGGCACTGACATCTGGCTTTCAGCAAGACAGATCCTATTCGTTCTTGTCTTTAGTTTAAGATAGACAGTGTTGGCTCCTGTTGTTCAACTCTGATGAACATAGCCTAGACATTTCTACATTCTTTCACATAGTCAAAGCTACCAAGTGCCCACTGGGTAAAAGATTGGTACCAGCCCTGGTGAGAAATGTGAAAACATGGGATTCCTCTGTCCTGGAAGTCACAAACAACCAGAAGCAAATTTACAAAACTAATGTTAAGTACAAGTTTGGTTGTGATCTGCTAAAGCAGAGGCACCGGGAAGTGCTATGGGAATTTAAGCTTGTGAATATTTAGGAAAGCTTTCGAAAAGCAAATGACGTTGAACTGGGTCTGATTTCAACAGACACAGATAGTGGTGTGGTGGTTTTCTTATAAGTGGATGGAAATGAAAATGCAGAGTTTAGAACCAGAACATGAAGAATGGGCATGCAGAATGGGCATGAAGAATGGGCATGCAGACATAGAGAACAGACTTGTGGACAAAAGGGGGAAGGGAGAGGGTGGGATGAATTGAGAGAGTAGCATGAAAACATATACATTACCATATGTAAAATAGATAGCCAGTGGGAATTTGCTGTAGGATGCAGGGAGCTCAACTCAGTGCTCTGTGACAGCCTAGAGGAGTGGGAGGGAGGTTTAAGAGAGAGGGGACTTATGTACACCTATGGCTGATTCATGTTGATATATGGCAGAAACCAATACAATATTGTAGAGCAATTATCTGCCAATTAAAAAAAAAAAAAGAATGGGGAGGGACTGAAAGCGGCATGCGGGCCTGGAGTTGTGGGACCAGACTGTGATGAATGTAATAAATTTGACATCTTGCTGTAAGGTGAATTAGAAAGAGGAGAGATGCTGAGGGAGGTTACTGAAGTACATCAGAGAAGTTCTTGAAACCCAAACTAGATGGAAACTATGGGAAGGAGAGACAGACACAAGCTGTGTGGCAGGTGAGATGTGTGCACACATCTAACTAACTGGATGTGTGCACACCAAGGGGACGAAAGGAGGCAGAGATGGGTCTACCTCTACCCATCCCTTTCTTCACCCCATACCCTTTCTAGCCCTGGTGATCTTCTGCGATTTGTGATCTCAGAGGGCTCCACCTCTGCTCTGAGCCACCAGAGCAGGCCTGGCCTGTGTCCAGGAAGGTGTGGGGCCTCAGACTATCTCAGAGTGTGTATCCTTAGCAGAATCTCACTGGTACAAGTCAGCATCAAGTCATACAGCCTTAAAAAAGGGAAAGAAAGGCTAAGCCATCTGTCATTATTCCAGTATGTACATGCCTTGCATTTTAATCACATCTCTGACTATTAAGTCACAGATTTTCCAAACTGAAGGTGATCTTGTAAATCACAGCATCGAGTGCCCTCATTCACCTCTGAGGAGACTGGAATCCAGAGGAATTAAGAAGCCTGCCTGTACCTATTGTATAGCACGGGGAACTCCGCCTGATGTCATATGGCAGCCTGAATGGAAGGGGAGTTTGGGGGGAATGTGCGCCCTGTCACTCAGTCGTGTCCAACTCTTTGTGACCCCATGGACTGTAGCCCGCCAGGTTCCTCTGTCCATGAAATTTTCTAGTTAAGGATACTGGAGCAGGTTGCCATTTCCTACTCCAGGAGATCTTCCCAACCCCAGAATCAAACCCTTGTTTTTTGTGTCTCCTGCATTGGCAGGTGGATTCTTTACCGTTGCGCCACCTGGGGGAGAATGGATACATGTATGTGTATGGCTGAGTTTCTTTGCTGTGCACCTGAAACTATCACAATATTGTTAACTGACTATACTCCAATACAAAAAAAAAAAATTCAAAAAGTAAAGTGAGCGCATTTTTCCATGTTAAGAAAAAAAGCACATTAATTTTGCCATGTTAACAAAAAAACCCAAGCAGATAACTTGACCTCTCTGGTTCTCAGTGTTTTCATCTGTCGATGGAAATAACAAATCATGCTTTTTTCACAGAGCTGTAGCTTAGATTAAATAATACTGTGAAGATAGGGTGCTGAGAATAGTATCTGAAGCAGAGAGCAAATGTTGGCTGTTACTATTATTAACTGCTCAGACATCATTATTGTTGTATAATGGCTTTGAATGTATGAGTAATTTCCCCATTCAGTCCATGCATACTTCATGAGTATCCACCATGTGCCAAAGACTATGCCAGGTGCTAAGCGTAGAGTTAGACCTTGCCCTCAACTATTTCACAGGTCACTGATTGCTGGGACAATGCAGACCAGGAGCGAGCTCCAGGAGAACAGTGCTGCCGTCTGGCTGCAGGAAAGCTTTCAAGAGAAGACATTTGATCTTCTTAAAGGATCAGTTGGCGGGCTGGGGATGAGGAGCGAGACAGCCTCACAGGCGTTCCAGCCTCAGGGAATATCCTGGCAGAGACTAAGAGCTGAAAAGCAAAGGAGGCAGAGGTAAGAAAAGAGACCACAATGCGGAAAGGTTCTTATAAGTAAATTGCAAGTTTCCTGTCTGTCCCTTAGGGGTAATTAGCACAGTGCTTAATTCAAAAAATGACTTGATTGATTTCTTTTTTCCCCTTAGACACACACGGAGAAAATGGATTCATTCTCAGCTTCCGTTATCACCACGCTGTTTTTATTCCCTAATCTGCATTTCCTCTTCTCTTTTCTCTACCATATGGCCAGATACCTTTGTAGTTGAAATATTTAAGATTCCTATACCCCACTATTTCCATTACCACCCCCCCCAACCACTTTTCCCTTCTTCCGTAGCATCATTACGAACAAAGCTAGTGGAGGTGATGGAATTCCAGTTGAACTATTTCAAATCCTGAATAATGATGCTGTGAAACTGCCACACTCAATATGCCAGCAAATTTGGAAAACTTAGCAGTGGCCACAGGATTGGAAAAGTCAGTTTTCATTCCAATCCCAAAGAAAGGCAATGCCAAAGAATACTCAAACTACCGCATAATTGCACTCATCTCACACGCCAGTAAAGTAATGCTCAAAATTCTCCAAGCCAGGCTTCAGCAATACTTGAACCATGAACTTCCAGATGTTCAAGCTGGTTTTAGAAAAGGCAGAGGAACCAGAGATCAAATTGCCAACATCTGCTGGATCATCAAAAAAGCAAGAGAGGTCCAGAAAAACATCTATTTCTGCTTTATTGACTATGCCAAAGCCTTTGACTGTGTGGATCACAATAAACTG